GAGGAGCGACGAGCACCTGCAAAAGCCGCACAAGGCTTGGAGAGGGGCTGCTACTAAAGTGGGCCTAAATAATTATCAAGACTATGTTTTGTGGGGTCCTTATTTAATTTAAAGAACAATATGCCCCCAAAAGTCTGCTAAAATTATCTAGGCGTTGCTATCGACCCGCCCGCATCGCAGGTTTCCGTCGGTTCGGGCCTGCCCCAATGCTTGAAGTAGTAATGGAAGTTGTCGTAGAAGTCGAAGTAGCAGCATGGATGAGGAGACAATGCCAGAGGGGCAGTAGGAGTACATATAGCAGCAGCCATAGTGCAGTAAGCCTCGCAAGCCCCAAGTCCCGAAGCAGTGGCTTCAATGTAGCAGCCTAATGTTATGCCGCAGGGTTCCAAATAATGAATTTGGGCCCTTTGACTAGTGTTAAAGCCATGTCGTGAGAAGCTCGTTGGGATATGCAGCTGGAGAGTAGCCTCGGAAGGTCAATGACACAGCCATGTGCAGAAATTCCGTCCAACCTCAAGCCCAAATCTGGCAAAAAAAGCTTTGAAGCCAATTGTCAAACCCTTATTAAGCCTTGTAGATCCCAAGCCCAAACCTGAAAACACTAAACCTTAACCCTACCTTGAACTGAACTCCGGTAACTTCGTACCTTTGGGTTTAGGTTGAACTACTGTTCGCAGGGCCGCAGGGTCCCTTTCTCAGGATTCACCTGCTTTCTTGTAGTGTAATGGTGCCTGCATCAGTCAAGACAGTGCGCACAAGTTTGTGGAGAGTTCAATTCAAAATTTAGGCTCCAGACTGTGGAGGACTGTGTTGGTGGAATTTCTGCAGCAACACTCGTAGTCGCCCAACTTGTTCTTACTTGTCGCGAAGTCCTGGATGTGGGTGTGACCGCAGTGAGTGTACATACCGGGCCTCGCTCAGTCTCTTATATAATTGTTGTCGTTGTGACTTCATTTCACGGAGACCCAAACCGAGCTCCCAACCTGCAGTGCAGTCAAGGCGGTGGTGTTCTCCCAGTTTACCAACATGCTGAACCTGGTGCAAGCAGCACCTTGCATGGACCTCAAACAGATTGCTAGCCAGAAGGCATGGCAATACAACCCTCAAGTTATCAATGTTGCAGGCCTGCATCTCTCCCACTCCCTCGCTCGCTCGCTCTATCTATGTATATATATATATAGATCTCTCTCTCTCTCTCTTTCTCTCTCTCTCTCTCTCTCTCTCTCTCTCTCCATATCTATGCACACGCACATACACACACGCACACATGTCTCCATATCTATCCCTCCAACTCTCAGCCTCCAGCCCTCCACAGCATACTTTGCGCTGTGCTGCTTGCTGCTGCCTCTCTGCTACTTCGAGCAGCCCTCAGCCCTTCCTTGCTGAGTAAGCGTGTGTATTACATTATTATATAGATGTATATACTGTGTATAGAGAGAGATACAATCTATCCATCTATCTATCTATCTATCTATCTATCTATCTATATGTGTGTGTGTGTGTGCGTATGTGTAGATATCGAAATCCCTCACAGCTTAGGAACTCCTCCGGCGGAATCTGCCTTTCGTCCGTTTAGACGGCTCCCTGAAGCACGAGCAGCGCGTGCAGGCTCAGGGTTCAGGGTTTCTTTGTGGTGTTTAAGAGTTTACGTGTTTAGGGATGGAGTTTAGGGCCTGGGTCCTCGGTCCTCTGGGGTTTCGTGTATCTCCAGCTTCTCTTCATGGTTTTCGGGGCTTTTTGCCTAAAGCCGCAAGTAAATGCCCCGCTCACAGCTAGGCGTGTAGAGAGTTCTGTAGCTGTTGCATGCGTTCCAATGTAGTATTCCTGGTTTCAAGGCTTTGGAGTAGCACATGACAGGCCGAGCCGTCGTGCCTGGTGCATGGTTTACCAAACTGGACAAACCTTACATCTCAGGCCTTGTGCACGTGGGCCGTTATTTGCAGGAAACTCACGACCCTCCCACACAAAAAAAACGAAAGAAGCTCCTGACCATCAACACCTTTGTGACAAAACCTCCATGTGGGATCAGACTGTTTCGACAGCCTGGATCTCATCAGGCGCAGCAGAGCTTCGCGGGGCATGGGCATATTCAGGCCGGCGATCGGTGTGTAGGGTTTGAGGTAATTAGTAGATTATAACTTCAAGAGGTTTTGGTTAGTAGATTATCGCATAATTATATTGTGGTATGAAGGCAGATGGCTCGATTTGCAAAGCGTTCGTCTTTGTGTTGTTTCAGCGTCGAGGCCGGGGTTCCCGCGTGCTTTGGCGTTCAGGGTTTGTGGAGTGCCAGGCGAGGTAAGGTAGGGGTGTCAATAATTACCTATACTATTCTGGGGTTCCTCATTATAATACTATTTTAGTATAGCCCAAAACCCTATTCTTGTTTTTAAGGCTCCTACAGTAACTTCATCCATTGCAAGCCTCGACCAAACCCTTCCCAAGCCTGCTTATGAATGCTGATGGTTAGGCCTTCAAGTGCAAGGGGGACGATAGGACACGAAAGTGATGGTACTCGTTTGCTGTTGTCAGTCCCAAGAAGTTTCCTTTTCTGTGAATTTACGCAGGCTGGGCTTTCTTCCCGTTCTCTTCTTACGACGGCGGGTTTAGTATGGATGCCTTCGCCCCCAGAGTCCTAGAGCTTCAGAGCCAGCAGAGGTCATGCTTTGCAGCCTGAAGGCAGCTGGCACAGGTCTGGGTCGCGATCTTCTTGATGGATTGGGGCTTTCTGGGATTGAGTTGCATTTCTGGTTGAAGCTGCGAGTGGTTGACTGCAGTATCTTTTCTGGCGGCTTTCTTCTGCATTCGGAACGATTTCAGAGCACTGAGGCAGAAGCAGCTATTCTGCAATGTGGGATGTCGGAGCGATTATCCACGGTAGTAGTTCGTCGCATTTCGTAGCCTGCACTTTGTCACGCCTTGCCCAGCAGTAGGCGTGAGCCAGAGCCCATACATAATGTGCGGTTAAACAATGTCCGCAGGTCGATCTCGGAGTGATTCCGCAGAGGGTCTAGACCTTTTCCGGAGGTTGCATTGGCTTTTTCTTTTTCCGCGGCAAGCACGATTCAACGCAGATGTTGGAACGATATCCCATGTTAAAGTCCCGGATTTTGCCGAAGCATACTGTAATCTCTGCGGATGTCTCTGTCTAGAACCCTTGGCATCTTGTAATCATGTGTAAAATTCCGCCCCCGCAGTGCTGACCTTTGCATAAACTGTTACCACTACCCTAAACCCAGCGACATAATTATTGGATGCTGTGGTTCGTAGGGGCTTTCCCTGCAGGAACGTAGTGCATTCGCTTCGATCCGGGAATGCTGCACAGAAGCATGCAAGATGGAATCTCTGAACAGAAGAGGTGGCATGCAAACGGGAGTGCAAAAGCTCCAAATGAATTGGCCCAAGGTCGGTTTCTTTGTCCATTATAGGCAGCCAAATCAAACGTCGAAAGACATCGCCCCAATAGCCCAAATGCTGAACCCTAAACCCGAAAACTGCAGGTTTGAATCTCACTTCGGCAGACTTCGTACTTCTGATCGACCCGCGGCACGGCCAGAAACTTCAGCACCTTCAAGGTCTCGCTTGGCTGCTTCGCAAAGGTTTCAGAAAGTTCCAGCGGTAGGGCTTCCGGTTTGGGGTTTTGGGGTTTTGGGTGTAGGGCTTGGGGTTTGGGGTTTAGGGTTTAGGGTTCAGGGTTTAGGGTTTAGGCTTCAGGTTTTAGGGTTTAGGGCTTAGGGTTTAGGGCTTAGGGTTTTGGTGTTTGGATATCTGGACTTGTGGGTTTAGATGTTCGGGGCTCCCTTGGCTCGACTCTTGATGGCTCTAATCCGTCTTAGCCACAGGGTCCATGTACCCAAATAGTATATACTTTGGCCCCAAAGTGCTTATATAGGGACTACTTCAAGGCCAAATTATATACTATTTGGGCACATAGACCCAGGGGGTTTCTGATCCATAAGTATACCGCGCGTCTTTTGCTGGCAGAGTGTCAGGACTGTAGTAGGCCGGAGCCTGCTTGCCGGGTTTGTGTTTCAATTTTAAAGCTGCTGCGGTGTTCGGGCTTATACATACATATCTGACTTGCACATATAGATATATATATATACACACATACAGACAGACAGACAGAGAGACAGACAGACAGACACATATACACACGTACAAATACCAAGGTAAATATATGCATGGTTACGTAGGCACATGAGTACATGCATGCATGCACCTTGTCGTATGGACGACAAGATTTGCTCACTTAGGGTTGTTTTCTGCATCGTCTGTGCTTCATAACCCTGGTGACACATGCCTCGGCCAGACAGCGCTTCGGATTTTGCCTTTAACGCCCCTGTATTAAGTGAGGCCCAGTAATTATGGGTCTGCCGAGGTGGTGGAATCCTGCCGTGGAGGAGTGTGCTGGAATCTTTGGGGAGCTGGTCTGTAGAACGCAGGATCCAAAATTTGTAGGGATCATAAAGATGCTCCCGAAACGATGGAACGGCACGGACGAGTTCGCGATTGCTGCGGGTTTGAAGCTTGCTAGCACCATGTCAACTTAGTGTGGACGAACAGTAAGTTGGTCAGTGCTTGAGCATTTGAGTCTTGACTTCCCAGAAGCTCTGCATGAATGGTCTGTTTATATATATATATATGTATTATATGTATATATGTATATATATATATCTTTCTCTCTGTCTCTCTTCGTTTTTCGTTTGAGCGTTGCGACCTAAGGTAGAGCACAAGAGAATACTGCTCAAACTGTGCGAGGGAGCTGGTGTGTCCCCTTGCGCCTGAACTGTTCACAACTTGAGCTTCGCGCGGTCTTGGATGCTGTAGCCTCAGGCTCAAGGACGATGCAGTAGCAAAGGTTTTGGTTCTTTCGGCTTCATCCCATATAGCCGCAACATGTAGAGGCATGTAACCATATATGCTGTACGTTCTGTAACAGTGACAGCGTCCACAAGGGACAGGCATACGTAGGTGCGAAGGCACAGATACTCGTCCGAGCCATGGGTGCCGCGTTGTGCCGCCCCCGTTGTGAGGAAGCTGCCGGCTTCGTGCTGGAAGTACCTGCATGTGCCTCTGCGTTTCGCCGAATAAGTGTGCGTGATGCTGACGTCCAGTCAACCGTACATGAATGTCGGTATCCTCTTTGGGCCGTTAAAGTCTCGGACTTCCTGCAAATGAGCGGTAAACCTCAAGCCCATAGCGTTTTGCTGGAGAGGGGCTTGCTATACAAGTGGTTCCCAGGCATGTTCTTGATTTTCGTCTCGCATCAGTGGCTGAGCAAAGAACATCCGGACCCGGAAGGACAGCAAATGGAAGTTCTTCAGAAGGCAATTCGAGGGGTCATCGGTGGCTCACTGCAGGTGCACGAGGACATAGCCTGCCGCACAGCAGACAACAGCATCTCAGCAAGCATACGCCAGCAGATTGCCGCAGGCTATATCTTTCTCGACTGGTTCGCAATCCCACAAATTACAGTGCGAGAAGAAGGGGTGAACGAAGAGACGACGAAGACGGATGCAGCTTTGGCGGTTCAAAGCATTCCAGCCTATGTTGAGCTCTCGAATATGTTTATCGCGTTGGTCCCGGAGCTGACGCACAAAGACTCGAAGCTCTTGGCGAATTATTCAACGTGGCTTTCCCGAGGGTGGCTGGTCTCTGTTCAGAACTGGCATTTACAAAAGGGTAGGATTTGGGCTCTAAGGGTCTACGACGGTCTGGGGGAAAGGCTTAAAGGTAGAGGCATCCGGCCTAGCCCTGCCCCTGCGGCTGTTTCTTTGTAAGCCTGCCCGATGCAAACGTTCAGGTGGTGTCGCGCTGAACTGTGGTGTCGCTTATTGTCAAACAAAACCGACACCACGGTCATTGTCGTCTACTCAAACGTGCAGGCCGAGTTCATGTATCCATTAGATTGGCAGAGCAACAGCATCCCAGACGAGTTTCAGCAGGATTTGGGCTTAGGGTTGCAGGGCTTCGGATGCAGGTAGCTTGGGTTTGGTTTTCAAGACTTCTTGTTTTGACAACGGGAGAACCGCCCGTCTTCACGGCATACCAGCAGCAGGTGCTGGTCATAGTAGTGGTAATTAAAGTTTCAGTATGAGAAAGGAGGAAGGGGGAGGTAACCAGGACTAGGACGGGATGAGTGCAAGTGGTGGTGTTGGTGGTGGTGCTATTCGTAAAGTGCTGGTCATAGTAGTGGTAACTAACGTTTCAGTATGAGAAAGGAGGAAGGG